TTGTGGATAATAAAACCATAATCTTGGCACCAACACAGATTAGACAACAAGCTTGTCGACGATTCTCTGGATTGTAAAAATTATAACTTCTTACGGTGCCTATCCGTTACTTTTCTGACAGCGATTTCCTCAGGTTTTGAATCCAAGAAATATTTCTCCCTTTTCCTATTTATCCATACACCTCACCTTACTTTTGTTAAACAAATAAAAAGGGAATACTGGAATACTGGCAGAGTTTCTCAAAACAGATGGAATACGTCTTCTACGGAATATAAAAGTAAATATGGAGACTGATCAGGGGAAAAAGAAAAGATATGAACGAACTAATAAAAACGAAACTCATTCAGAAGGAAACATGTGTAGACTACTTTCGATTCCTATTTGTTAAAGGTGACGGTAATGAACTACCAACACCAGAGGTGACGACAAACGAAGAAATAAATATTGAGGAGGAACAGGTAAAGGAAGCATTAAGGAAATTAAAAAATACAAAATCACTAGGAGAGTATAGAATACCGAATGAACTCCTAAAGTACCTAGGAACAGATCTGACCAAACAACTATTAAAACTAATCCAAAAAATAATAGAACAAAACAGAATTACTTAAGAATTGAGATCAAGCATCCTATTACCTCTCTTCAAAAAGGGAAACCAATCGGACCAGAAAAGAACCACGCTGCTCCATTATTTAGTCAACGTATGTGATAAATATTTGACTATAGGTAATGGATTTTGACAAGAGCTATGACCTTGTAAATAACAGGTAAACTTGTGTACTAAATCGGCATGACTCATAGCTCTTGTCTTCGTCAGTTATGCAAAAATCATCGATTTCACAGCAAAATTTTTCGCAGATGTCTGAAGCTTTTAAGACATAGGTGGGGGTTACTAAATGACGAACAGTCTCAGAAGTAAAATGCATCTTGCGCTTTCATCGAAATTATTTACAAAATAAACGTTTGAAAAAGGGGTATGTTTTTTTTACTTATAAACAAATGTAATAACTTCTATATTTTTCAAGCTACAGACTTGTACGTACAACCATTGGATAGCTGGTAAAAAAACTCATATTGAAAAATAACCTTTTATGACCAAGAGGAACGAAGTTAGGGACTATTTTAAAAAAAATCATATCTCCATTGTTTATAAACATTAAGAAGTAAAATTTGCACAAAATTTGAATGAAAATCTAAACTTTATATTGAAACTTATAGCTATAAAATTCATCCAAGTTTTCTAAACTTACAGCCCTTCGAAATGAAGGTACTTTCGAAAGATCGACATAGGAAAGTTAATGGGATAACTATTTCAGCTCCGTTTTTTTTTGTCGAGATCGGAACTTCAAATTGAAACACGTAGGAAAAATTACAGTATCTCGGCTTCCATTACAGCTAGAAGCCTCTTTTTTAATCTGGGGTAGCTCGTCGAAATATGAATAACTACATAGTTTTCACTGGCCGGGAAATATGGAAAACCTCGAAAAACTTGTGCCCATTTGAAATTCACGTAAAAACTTACTTTTGGCTGGAATAGTCGTCTGTCGTTTGACGATCTATATGTTTATATATGTGTATGGGTATACGAGGACGGTAACACATTTATTTATGATTTTATATCTAAATATCTCCAAAGACCACAGAGTAAAGCGTCCTCGTGTCCCTACATTTTATATGTATTCATGTGAATAGGAAAAAGTTCATCTATATAATAGAAAACCGGTAATATATTTTAGTAGGCGTAAAAAGGCAGGGATAAGTAGCAGCTGTCACTCCAAAATTTCGTCAAAATAGTCCCTAACTTTGTCCCTATTGGTCATAGGTTTTTTTAATGTGAGTTTTTTTACCAACTATCCAATGGTTGTACGTACAAGTCTGTAGCTTGAAAAATATAGATGTTATTACAATTGTTTATAAGTAAAAAACATACCCTTTTTCAAACGTTTATTTTGTAAATAATTTCGATTAAAACCCAATATGCATTTAACTTCTGAGATAGGTTATGTCTTAAAGAATCCTATGAAATTTCCTATGACGGTAATTCGTCGATGTTCAGATGTATTAATAACATTTTATTTTGTTAATAAAAATTATTTATCAACTTTAATTTAAAAAACGGGAAAATAAAAATATTCTTGATAAAAAAACTTTTTTAACCAGACTTGGCAATTATTGTAACAGTACCAAAATGAAATTACTTCATTTGAAAAATCTTGAGCTGTAGACAAGACTCTGCTTCAGAAGATCCTCCGAAACACCTAATTTCCAGATAATGAGGAGATATATTAACATTTTAAAATTGCATAAATTGTACATTTATTTTGAACTTTACTGATGCAGATAAAGACAAGTAGAGTTAAACTGAATTTAAATTATTGTGCAAATTAATTATTTTAAATAGTTTGCACGCTTTATATTTTCCTTCACTTGGAGCTATCTAAACAAAACATTTTTGGGTTTTTATGAACGTAGGAACAATATTGTATGCAACTTCTGAAAATATTGTTATTGCACAAGACGTATTGCCCAACTCGGCATTGACGGCGTCGTTGAACAATTTGAACAAGTTTGAAGCCAAAAAAATAATATTTTTAAAGAAACTTTACATAAAAATGTCATGATATAAACACCACATCGTAAATTGTATATTTTTTATTGATTTGTAAACCTCAGTCTGGAACCATACAAATATTTATATATCTATGCACTTATTTGGGAATGCACGAAGAACGTCGTGGTAGCCTACAATAATTTACAGCTACGTGGTACGGTCCTGATTAGAAAAGCGTGTGGCCTCGCGTCCCATGCGTCTAATTGCATAGACTTTTGAACGGAATCTCCTCTGTACTGCAGTGTCTATGACCGATCTCTCGATATTATGTTCGGATGCACAAGTTACGTAGTCGAAGCGACCTAGACACTTTGGAGACAGGAGGATTGTGTACTTGCGTCAAGACCAATAGTAGTAAAATTTTCGAGTTATCAGCGAGCGCATTCTGATAACCGGAGAGGTCGAGTTGCTAACACCAAGTGAATGCCGGCAAGGCTGAGAGAGGAGCTGTCCGCCATAGACGGTATAACCTTACGAAGAATGAATCTGAATCCGTCACCAATTTAAATCGAAACAACAACAAAAAAGTTACAAAAATTGTTAGAGAAACAATAAATACATCGTATCGATATATCGACGCTCGCAAATAAGAACATCGTAACTCTATAATCACAACTATTCAGAAAATGAGTTCAAAGTTTTTTAGTTTTTTTCATTGATGCAAGTTGATTTAAACATAAATTTTGGATAGAGTAAAAGAAGATTCGTCGCTATATGTCTATTAATTATAAAGTTGAAAAAATACTTAAATATTCGTAAATTTTAACTTAACAAAACATGCGATGTAAGTATTTACTTATATTGACGTAGCACTGAATCTCGTCACTCCATCAGTCTTCCAATTTCTATCATTTGTTATATACTAACTGTTTCAAATCATAAACAATATCTTGGTTAACTTCTATTACGTTATAAGGTTCTCCAGTGACCTTTTACATCTTAATAAGCATAATCCATTGGTCTTATTATTTACGCTAAAATTGATGGGCTTTTTTGAAGAAACACAGACATTTTTTAATGGAGAATGAAAAGACCTTTCAAACGATATATCACAATCCTATACTTCCTATTTTAACAATTGGGGGTTGTACCTGTCATTCTAAGGGGGTTGAAGGTAGGGGTTGCATTTTCACGTTAAAGAATGTCAAGTTATAATTTAAATTTAACGTGTTTCGGGATCTTTTATAAATATGTACAGTAACCTAAATAATGAATTTATTCCATTTGGCTTTTACACACTGTATAAATGTTAGGAAAATAATAAATTGATTTAAAATGCTATGATTATAAAATATATAATAGCTAAGTCTAATGCTTCGTTTTTATCTTATTACGAGTAATAAAGAACGGGCTCAACATTGGAACGCTGTAAAATCCAGAGAAATTAATGAAATTAAACAAATTTTTAGTGAAAATGATTCATTGCAAAATCCCCAATAATAATATTGATGACATACTTTATTGTAAAATGACTAGAAAAAAATTTAAGACCGAAAAAAAAAATTGGTCAAAAATTGTTAGTAATTTTTGTTAATAACTTTTTTATTTTTCATTTAACCATGAAAAGTAATATAAATAAATTTGTAGACAAATTAGTTTGCTATAAATATTGTCTTATAAAAATTTTTATAGTTAGTTGTAGGTTGTTAGTTTATGAGATACAGCGCGAAAACCCTTTCTCCACTTTTTCCAAAATGGCGGAAGGATGACAAGGGTAGTGACCCTACAAGCTTGAACTTAAGCTTATCCTCACCCTCCTAACATATCAAAAAAATAAAATTGCGTCCTCTAAGTGCACGCTAAGGCAAAAAAACGTAACATTTCAATGGACTATAGAGTCAATATAAATAGTACGCAGAATAACTGGGAGAACTCTAATGGACAGGGACATAACTTACTGAATATTGAACTGAAAAGAAAAAAGGTAGGTAGAAAGGAAGGGGAGAAAGTGTGATTGAAGATTTGAAAAAAAAAGTCCGAAGCTATTTTCTTGTGGCATTTTGAAATAATTAATATTTGTAGTTTATTCCGTGAAATAAAGGTAACAAATTAAGAACAACGGGTAAAGACGAAGAAAAGGAAATTTTTCCTAATAGGACATAATGAAGAAGACCAAAAAGTATATTTTTTTATGGATATAATTCAATGCAGGTCATAAAACCTAGAAGGTGATGAAGTGTTAATCAACGTTTTGGTCTTGGTCTAAGAGAACTCTAACCAGAGAACTAAACCAAGCTTGCAACGTCGAAATTAACAAACTTATTAATTAACAAAAGGTTTATGGATGATATAAGGATCTATATTTTTAGAAGGCGGATGATCAACTGACCAGAATCATGCACAGGGACTCATATGGTGATGATGACGATAATATTTAAAAAATTGTACTCACCTTAAGTAGATTTGTTTCAGAGCAATGCTTCCATTGACACAAGACGCAGGTAGTTTAAATACCGGCAAAAGTTCAGACCACGTATTCTTCGAGTTAACCTGAAAAAGAAAAAAAATCATAATAAATTCAATGCACAATAAGAAGCTATAAAGGAACAATTAAGATAAAAGCTAAGTCAACTATACTGAATCATCGCCAGAATCCCCAGATTTTATTGTACCTTGGTAACATTGATACAATATTTCATTTATATAATACCCCCTCTACCCGTAATTTTTCATATGTGGTCTAAAGGAAAAATCTGTATCAACAAAATAATTTTTCTTATCTTTTCCCTTTTGTTAGTTCATCATAACTTTCCTAGTAAACGTTGAAACGTTATGCTTACAATTATTTATTTCCATTGCGCATTCGATTATGATTATAAAACTGTAAAAATTGATCAATTTGACCTGATCTACAAAGCAATTTTAATGTAAAAATTAACCTAACAAACGATTTAAACAGATCTTACTGCCATACGATACAATCGACACGATGAAAACCTCTACGGAGTGCCACAGGGCTCGGTCCTCGGACCGCTGCTCTGGAATCTACTCTATAACTGTAATACAGGTAATTGCATATGGAGACGACCTGGTCATACTACTAAAACACTTCGAGAATTGGCTCCTAATGGCTAGGACAATCATAGCCCTTGAACAAGTTAGGATGTTGCTAGAGGAGAGAGAACTAACGCTAATCTAACAAACGAAGGAGTCCATAATCCTTGTTCGAATAAATCTATTCAAACATGTAAAAATTATTTACCAATATTGTTAATTTAATGAGTAATAGTAATTTAGTACTTAACTCCACTTTTGACAAAAATTCGCCTACTGTGTAAATATATAAATGACAACATTGTCAACAGTGCAGTGTTTTCACATAGTTCTCGTAATAGCCTTAAACACACATGGTTGCCTCATATTCACGTCTATAAATTCAAGTGATTGTACATTTATTGTACAAAAATATTAAATACTGATTGTATTTATTCTATTTTAGTACTTATATCTCCTTCTTCCTCTTTAATAAATCGTTTTGTACATTTGGATAGCTTTTTGGACCGTTAGTGTTTAAGACATTTCTATATTACAGGTAAGAGCTCTCATATTTTGAATCAAGTAATTTATGTTATACACTCTTTCTCACATAGGACATTCTTCATGTTTGTCCTATTGTGTATATACTAATTTTATCTACAATCCTCAAGGTCCCAAGAGCCAAAGACATCTCCTGTAACTTGGAATGAGAAAGTATCCTACCTGTCAATAAAGTCAAATTTCTTTGCGTAACACTGGATACCAAACAGATATTCGTTGAACACGTAATATAAGCTATGAACAGCAGTGCTAACGAAGATCATTCCAAACGTAATAGATCCAGGGACAGGTAGAAGAATCTTATTTCCAGGGATCGGTAGAAGAATTAGAGAAAGTTTTACCATATTTAGTCAATGATAATTTTTCATGAGACCTGGTAATTTGCTAAAGAAAGGACAGACACTTTGGGATACTTTTCAGATAGTCACGGAAGAGTCTGGAGAAGAGATGGTGAACGTATGCCGAGTTCACTTTTAGCCCTAAAGTAAGTTTTCAAGATGGTTCAGTTATGTATATCCTCGGAAGGTTATGTATAGAATTACATAAATGAGATGCTGCAAAATTATGTTATACCATATGCACCATTTATTCTAGAAAATTTCACACTGATGCATTACAGTGCCCTTGTAGCGCCTTTATTGTCAGAGAATATTTAACTGAAGTTAATATTACCTATATGACATGGCCAGCGCAGTCTTGATTTAAATCCCATCAAGCATGTTTGGGATAGGCTTGTTAGAAGTATTCAAAGCCGGGTATTTACTCCTCTTATCTTGAATCAACACAAAGCATGGCTCTTTTAAAGGAAAGGGAACCAACTCCACAGAATGCAGTTGTAGCATTTTTCTTTTTCAAAAAGGTCACAAAAATCGATATGGTTAATACATTTTTGCGTTTTCAAAATAGAGTTTAACCACTACGAGGTTTTGTTTCTTTTGGCAGAAAGTTGTTTTCAAAGGGGAGAACTATTTACTGCCTGCTTTCCTTGTTCCATTTACAGAGATTTTAAGAATATTACCTGAGGTTTTAAATGAGGATTGACAAATGTTTTGTTTTGAACTAGGCATTAGAAAAACATGGCACTCGACAATCATGAGTTTATTTTTCGTTGCGGTAGGGAATTGGTAAACAGGAAGACTTCTCGCTGAGACATCACCGAGAAAGGTAGTTAGCAGCCGGTCGCCGGGGCAGAGACTCCCGGTATTAGGCTTTAAGCAGGAAGGTCAAAGAAAAAGCCGCTACCTGAGCGGAACCTGAAGCAAAAAATTATACCGATGAATTATTAGTGTGCCATAAAACAAAAAAAGGGAGATTTATTTCTAGATTCTCAATATTATCCTTTTTATTGGCATTTATAAATTGGATCAAATAATACCGGTATAGAATATTTTGATTATAAAAATCAGCCGCAGTCTATTTTGCGTAAGTTTGTAGCATTTGGATTTACCTCGTATATATTAAAACACCGAAAAATATTCTCGATCTTTTTGCGTCGCTAAGATTGAAAATATAAACATTTTTTGTCTGTTTTATAATTGCACAATTGTTTATAAAACATAAATTGGTATTTCTTTTGATCTTGATTCCTCTTGGATATTGCGTCTCAAATAAATATGAATCATTCCACTTAAGTTTGGCAATGGGGGGAGGGGAGACACAAGGTCCGTTGCCAAAGGAGTTGATTTTCTTGTTTGAGTCAGCGTTTCTTCTTAAAATTCGTTATTTTTTTTCGTTATTCATTATTTGCCATCGGAAATTCCGTAATGTGTAGTGTAGTAGTAGTTAGAGGAGAAGCAGATTCGGGTCGGAAGAGATAAGAACGCGGAATATTAGTTTTAAAAACCAGCAATTGTTTGGTTAATTTCATGAGTTAAGGTGTATTTAAAGTCAAAATGCTATCCAAAATGAAAAAGCGCTCACCTCTAATATACATAAAGCGATGAACAACGTCTCTAGATGAAAGGACCAAGAAACATAATTTATAGGCAAAGCGTTCTTGTCCTATTATATCGGGGGTAACGGACAGAATTGCGCTAATACTTAATACAAATAAAAAAAGCCAACGTGAAGACGATTTTCAAGCCTACAAAGAAAATCAAGGACTGTTTAAGATCGGTGAAGGACAAACGCAACCCATTACCAACGGTCGGAGTATACCGAATACCTTGTACATGTGGAATGGTATATGTGTAAATCACGAAAAGACATACAAACATAAGGATAAACGAACATGAAAGCCATTGTCGTTTAGGATATATCGACAAATCTGCCGTTGCCGAACACGCTTTGGGAAGCGTAGAACATCGGATACTGTTTGAAGAAACGCAGATGCTGGATAAAACATCACAGCACTACCAACGGTTCTATCGGTAAGCGGTGGAAATATATAAGCACCCAAATAATTTCAATCGGATAGAAGAAGGACTAAAAATCAACAAAACATGGATACCAATAGTATTTTTTTTTATTTATTTTTTGGTGTAGTTAGTTTCCTAGTTCTTCAAATAAAGAAACCTTATTCACGACCCAGCTCACCAACCAAACCAAGAGTAGCCGTTCACAAATGTTTCAGTTTATTTGCTTACGCTATCTCCAGCCCAGTAATTGTTCAGTTCAGTTTCAACCCCCCATAAGCAATTTATATTGTTATAAGTGACACCGAATATAGTAGGCAAATTAAATAGTTACACTTTGATAATAAGCAGATCAAATAGTCTGCAATTATGCATAAGTTGGTTTTAAGCCGAGAAATGGACAAGAACTTCAAACCATGAGTCATCTCACTTATTAGTCCATTTTTCTGATGAAGCACGTTACTCACAGTATGCTGAATTTCTAGATGTTTCAATAATACAATGAGTTAGAGGGGTGGATGGTATAGCTGTCGTAAAAAACTTGTCAATGTTCAGTGGAAGTGTTTAAAATTATTTTGTACAATTTGATTAAATGTTTAAATTTTGTATATTCAGCTATATTCAGGTATATTTTACTGGATATTAAGTTATCGTACCTAAAGATTATGATATGCTCATAAGTGTACTAATCTCTCGACTTTTTGGTTAATTTTACTACTTAATTTGAGTATCAATTATTTTCGCAATTGGTGATCTTTGTAGCAAAATTAAAAAAGGGGTAATTCATAGTAAAAATTGGTATAATGTATGCGAGAAGACTTTGTTTCGAACCACACTGGAATGGAAAAGCCGATGAATATTTAAATGTGGGTTTCAATTGTAATCAATTTTTTTTAATAATTGATTTCGATTATGCCAAAAATTACTTCACCGAGATGTAAATAATATACTCCTACGAAAAAACACCACAGAAATATGTGGTCGATATTAAAATATCAAAACATTCAATGGCAGCCACCACTGCAGACGGCAAAATAACATTTTCATTACTCAATGGTTTATAAATATATTTTATAAAAACCGCATGTATGTAATAGTTTTAATATGAATTATTTCTACAGGTCGTGTCCTTGAATCAAAACTTTTAATTAAAATAATTCATATTGTACGATTATCCATCCATAAAAATATATCGATATTATAACACTTTTAACATTTTTAATGTTCAATTATGTATATATTTAGCGACAGCATGGAAGCCATATATTCGTCGACTTATTTTAGGTAAAAAGAGAGGCATAGTATCTATAAAAGATAACAAAAAAATCTAGAAATCAATACCTTGACGCATCACTTCAAAGCAGCCGTGACGTCACCGAAACTTTCAATGTATATCAACACATTACTTCGCTGCAAAGCTGAGCAGATTGGCGTACAGACGGGCAAGTATTTAGTTCCTTCGAGCTCCTCAGCGGCTGGATACAGACCAAGACGAGAACATAAACCCCAAAAAAGGCGTATCGGTTTATAGACGAACGGTGGGGAGAAAACAATTGTTGCGGGTGCAAGTGCGGCCACGGCCTGTCTCGTCATATAATC